AAAATGCATGACACGCGTGTCTACTCGGCGAGTAGATCCATTATACTCGGCGAGTAGACGGTTCAAACCCAGTAAATTAAAATCTGTAAAAATTACTTTTATTCAACATTTCACCCCCACACTCGCCGAGCATCTTCTTTCAGCCGCCTCTCAAGAGTTCTTCAAGATCTACTCAATTTTCTTTCTCTTTCTCTTAATTCAACCACCAAGGTAACATCTTTACTCTTTAATTTGATGAAAGGTCCAATCTTTATCAGATATCTCCCCATATTTGGTATATTTTCGGATTTGGGGAGTTTTCCCCAATTTTTAGGGCTTTGATTTACTCATGAATTAGAAGTTATTTGGTAAAATTTCTTCAAGATATATGGTTAGATACACAATTACAACAAACCCCTATGAACAAATTGGACTATTACACAGATTACACAGATCCGGTTTCGATCTGTCCGAGTGTTCATATTACTCGGCGAGTATGCTCGCGTACTCAGCGAGTAGGTCCCACAAAGATGAAAAATTTTTCTGTTTTAATGATGGGGTGTTGTTTGTTGCTGTGTTTTTTTTTTTTGGAATGTTTATGCAGATAGCATGGCAAGGAGAGGATAGTCATCACGTGGGGGAGGCCATGGTGATATGCCATGGTTATCCTTTCAACACATCACCTCCAAATCCTCCAAAACCCGAGCCTTAAACAGGTTGGAAGTTCTGCAACAGAAGGAAATTCACTTGCCCACTGTAGTGGATTGGGGATGGATGGGCAATGTTGGCTTGGAAGAGGAACTTACACCATATTTGGTGAAAGACTGTAATTTGGGTTATGCCAACATCACTTGTGATGGTTGGTTGCAATTGTTTAAAATCCAAGAGCCCGTCTACGCGGAGTTATGTTGGGAATTCTTTGCTACCATTTCATTCCGAGGTGGTAGTGAGTTTTACAACCCAAACACGATTTCGTTTTCTTTGGGGGGAGAGCTGCGACAATGCAGCATGGTTGAGTTCTCTTGGCGGTTGGGCATCTACGATCAAGAAATAGCAATGACAGAATATTTTGAAGCCTTCTTGGAAAACACTCACAAAGAACTTCCCGAGGGGGTGGTGGCATCAACATGGTGGAGTACAATTGCTAACCGGGTCTATATACATTCCACTGCTCAAGAAGGTCATATCCTTTCTCCAATCCATCGACTTATTCACCGGTTCGTTGCGAGCACAATCAACATGCGAAAGGATGGGGATAAAGTTCCCACCCTTGATATCTTTTATATGTGGAGTATCATCACCCCCGATGTTTTCTGCAACCTCCCATATTGCATCACTAAATTTCTTGCGGAGGGAACGGTTAAGGAAAAAATCAACTCGAAGATCAATGGGGGTATGTTCATTACTCGGCTTGTGCGATCATTTGGGATCTTGGAATTACCGCAAGCTCAAATGCTAACGGTTATCCACCCTCCTCCGTTCAATACGGCACTCTATATGAGGGCTCGGATAGTGGAAAATTTTGGTGATTCTTTTACGATCCCGAATGAGGACGAGCCGACGGTCCCCGAGGAGCCGGGAAGGCGGGTTAGGCCGAGGAACGAGCGGGTACGAGAAGACCCACCGGTAATTCCGGTGGAGGATAACGAGGGGTGGAATCAAGTGGAGTATCGGCGATACTTGGATGATATAGGGCGAGGAGTCAATTACACCAATCAATCCTTCGACTATCTTTTCCAACAAATGCATATTGCCCCGCGACCGGGACCCGGCTATCCTTACATCATGGATTGGGACGAAAGGATGCAAAGAAGGGGTGGAGAAGGAGGTAGTGGAGCTGGAGGAGCCGGGATGGACGAGGAAGAATGAAGATTTTATTTGCTTTTGTTTTTGTTTGATTATGATGTTTGTTTTAAAGACAATTGTGGACATGTGAACTTGGTTATGTGGTTTGAATTTTAGTGTTACTTTTAGTTTTCTTTTCAGGAATTGAAGCTAGGATGCATGCTATTTAGGAATGGTCAAGAGAGGAATGAGAACCTTTAGGAGTGCTTATGGAGTTTTGTTCCTAGGATCAAGTCCGTACGAATCGAGAGTTTATTAAAGTGTTGCTGTTTAGGAAGTTTACTGGAGAGTGCATTTATATTTGCATGTCAACACTAGAGTAAAGAGAGTCAGCGATTAAAAAAATTCTGGAATTATACGCTCTACTCGCCGAGTGCACTAATACTACTCGGCGAGTACATCTGTTTCTGCACGATCTGCTTTGTCCGATACCTACTACTCGCCGAGTTTACTATCCTACTCGCCGAGTAGCCTGCTGCAGGAGGAGTATTGATTTGTTCTGGCTACTGTGATATGCGCCATTCATACATTCTTTATGCATTACTACTGAGGCTTGTGCAACAATCCTTTTTCCTTGGAGTTTTCGAGCTATCAACCACACGAGACATATGGCACCCATGCCATGGATGAGCTGTTCCCATGGTTAAAGTCACTAGAAGAAGGAGTTGAAGAAGAGAGTGTCAACCTAGCGACTGCTACCCCAGGAGAGTTTGTTCCAACTTTCTCTCTATTTGCATTTTTTTTAAGTTGTTATAATATGCAATGAGGGCATTGCATAAAGTAAGTGTGGGGTAGGGGGTTAGTCACATCTTAGAACACTTAGAATCTTAATTTAGGCTAATTTTTAAATTTGTTGAATATTCAAAATGATTAGGTCTTAAAGTAGAAAATTTTGGTAAAAAATTAGGATTCCATATTAAGATTGTGTTAATAATTGCATGAGAACCCAAATGTTTAGTTGAGCCTATATACGTTCTAGTGCATTTGTGGCTTCCTTATTTCAGTGAAATCATGAGACAAAAACACGACCTTGCTCAGCCTGAGGGATGCAATATGTTTAGCAGCCTAAACCTGAAATGTATCCAGGAAAATTTTTATCATTAGCCAATAAAGGTTGAGATTGAGCGCCCCTGCTTAAGCATGTAGGGATTTGAAAAAAAAAAAGTGAGGTATACATGTAAAAAACAAAGAGAGAGAATTACAAGAAAAATTGTAAGAATTTTGGAGCAAATGAAGTAAAGATTTGAAGATCAAAATTCTATAGAAATCCAAAAAGTTGAAGATACAAAAAATCAAACAACAAAGGTGGTGAATTCAAAGATATCCAAGATCAAATTATCAAGAAATGAAGAATTCCAAAGAGCTCCATAGTGGTATCATAAATTGTAATTTTCTAGATTATGTATGCTTGGGTTGCTCAATTAAAAATACCTTGAGGGTAAAGAGGTTTTCTGAGGATGGATTCGGAGGGTTGCATAAAATGAGCATAGTTCGGGGTGAGTGGGTGAATGTTTATGAGGATTGTGAGTATTTGAAGTATGGGGGGTTTTTAGGATTTTAGACACAAATGCATGCGTTGCGGTCTTGGCATAATGGCTGGGAAGGATTGGAGTTATTAATGTGATTTTAATGTGTTTAAAATATAGTTTTGCTTGGGGGCAACCAAAAGTCAAGTGTGGGGTATTTTGATATGTGCATAATTAGTTAATTATTTAACATATATTCTTAGTTATTTTTGGTTAATTATGAAAATAATATGGATAAAAGGTACTTAAAATGCTTTGAATTGTGTTTTCAGTCCAGAAGATATGCTTGGAGGCAAAGAGGAGAAAAGGGAAAGCAAGTGAAGATTAAAGAGTGAAAAGACTGACCTACTCGGCGAGTAGATCGACCATACTCGGCGAGTACACGATGATATGCCAGAAGATAAATACGACTGCTAATCTAAAGACGGATAAGTATTGACCTACTCGGCGAGTTGATTCTGCTACTCGCCGAGTACCCTCTGTTTTGGGATATCTTTAAAAGACGAATCCTTATCTCATGGGACAGAACCCCTGGCGAATTTTGAAGGATTAGCTGCGACTAAAAGGTTCAGAAGGCGCTAAGGAACCCTAAGCTTCAAGAGTTGGAAGAATTCAAGCAATTAGGTTAATTCTACCACTTAGACTTAGGAATTAAACATGTTTGCTTTCATAAACTTTGTTTTTATGCTTGTTTCTACTACAACTATGAGCTAAACTCGTTTTTGTTTCTGTTTGGGGAATACCAAAGAACTCCTATGGTTTAATTATTGAATTTTGTTTAATTGTCTATTGGTGATTTATTAAATTAAGTTTGTTAAAGAACCTTATGTATTAATCACTACTATTTTCTGTTAATTGGAAGGCAATTAGGTTGCATGAACATCACTTAATTGTTAACCTCATATGTCTATGTGAATGCTAAAATGTATGCTTGGAAGTAATGAGTATGAAACTAAGATTAATAAGAAAATAGGAAGATTAATGTGTGAGCTTGTTTGAGAAACCATCAACAAGAGGTTAATTGAATTAATAACTTAATTGACCATTACAAATCTTATTTAATCCAAATAATTAATCTAGGGAATTAATTAGTTTAAACACTTGATCAACGCTTAAATTAGTTAATTGTCTAAGGGTTAGGAGTAATGAACATGAACCTAACTATTATCATTGGTAACCAATAGCAATTAATCTACCTTAACTTAAATAACCATAGGAGTGAATTAGTTGAACCTAAATAGAAACATCTTTATCAAATTTGGTGAATAGTTGTTGCTTTAGTTAATTAGTTAATTTAGTTGTTTAAGTTTCTAGTCTTGCAAAACTAGAGAAAAACCATTTACTTTTATTATTTGTTTTAGTTAAAATTAGCTATTAGTTTAATTTTTGTTCCCTGAGTTCGATACCTTACTTATCAATCTATACCACTCAAAGACAGGTTCACTGCCTTTGTGTGCTTAAATTATTAATAAAAAGTAGGGATAAAACTAGTTGAATTTATACACATCAACTACACAAAGTGGATCCAACAAAAGGGTTAAACTAAATTGGGTTAATGTTACGGTCAGCACTTAATTCGTTATTGAAATTGTAGTTTTAACTTTATTTTTTGGATCAATTGAAATGATCATTTTATATGTAATTGTGTAGTATCCAGTTCAGCCCGGATCTACCGAATGTGGCTACTACATGCTAAGGTTCATGAAGGAGATAGTGGAAGAAGGAATTGAAGAGTTGGTCAAAGACAATGTAAGGATATAGCATTCTACTTTCATTACTATAATTCATGGCATCCTTACTGTTACAGAATATGTGCTTTCATTCATTTGAAAGTACAATGCTCTATTAAGAAAGAATAATTTACATTTTATGCTTAGTTGTTAAATATATCAACTTACTATTACAGAATATGTTAATATGCTATTTTTTATTAATAAAAACAATATGCAAATGTTTTCACAGATCGGGGATGGCAAAGTTGAGTACACAACTGCTGATATCGATGAGATACGTGAAGAATGGTCAACGTTTGTTACAGGCTTCATTTATCGATGATATGTATGATCTTTTGACAATGTATCCGCAAAACAATGTTATGGTTAACCACTAATGCTAGGTATGGTCTTTTGACATGTGTAATGCTAGGTAGTCTTTTGAGACACATGTACAATTTTTTGCTAACTTTTAGTAATGTTACTTAAGGTAACATGTAGTTACAACTTAGGTAATTCAACATATATGTAAAGTTGTTTGACAATTAGATGAAAATGAATGTTTTGGTATATTTGTCATCTATTATGTGTATTCACGTTGTAAATGTGTGTTTTAAATGCACGTCGTAAAGGCGCGTAGTAAAAACGAGAGACGTAAGGTTAGGACATGCGAATGAGCGTCGTCTTTCTTTATGACATGGCCTTCCTTGACACGCATTGCGTATCATAAGCGCGCGTTGTCTGTAGACGACGCGCATTTGAGCGTCGTCTTCCTTTATGACATGGCCTTCCTTGACACGCAATGCGTATCATAAGCGCGCGTCGTCTACAGACGACGCGCATTTGAGCGTCATCTTCCTTTATGACATGGCCTTCCTTGACACGCAATGCGTATCATAAGGGCGCGTCGTCTCTAGACGACGCGCATCTGCACGTCATCTATACTTATGACATGGCCTTCCTTGACGCGCATTGCGTATCATAAGGGAGCGTCGTAAATGCGCGTCGTAAATGCACGTCGTAAATGCGCGTCGTCTATCTTTATGACATGGCCTTCCTTAACGCGCATTTGCGCGTCGTCTGAGCCTTTTACGACGCGCAATGAGCGTCGTAAAAGGCCTTTTTTCTAGTAGTGAAAAATAGACTTTCATAGTTTTCCAACCATATAAGATACATGATTTTTGAACAATCGGATCCAAAACAGAACTTTCACAATTTTCCAACCATATAGGATACATGATTTTTGAACTACTGGATCCAAATTAGTAGTTGGAAAAATATAGCATTTCTCATTTGTTCATATGCGGTTCAGCTCTCGTATCAATCAGTTTATTGACTGTTTTTTAAAGAAAAAAGCAACCACTACCAGGATCCACTTGTGATTTTTCTATCTACCATCTACCTCCGTAATGGTTAAGTTATTAATCGAACCATCTGGATAAGTTCTTGAAGGAAAGGCGGCTACAAATACTTCCTTTCCCAAGAAAAAAGCTGGTGGTTTAGGTTGCGATAAAGAACCCTCACCACCCAACATTAGAATTAGTGATGACATGTTTGGCCTATCTGCAGCATTTTGTTGAACACATAACAACCCCAGTTTAATTGATCTTATAACTTCAGATGGATGACAAGATTCAGCTAACCTTTCATCAACCAGTTCCATTGACCTTCCTTCGTTATATAGACTCCATGCCTGAATATAATGTAGTAATTAATAGTTAGCAGCAGTGGCTAGAGTAGATTACTATTTGCAAACGCATCATAGGCTAGTGGTGATCATATTGTATAAACACTCCATAAATGGAGTGTACTCAGGTTCGAATCTTACATTCTATTGAACTTACATGTCCAATTAGATTATTATCATGTTCAGGATGGATAAATCCCCAGTTTCTCTTCCCACTCACAATCTCCAACACCAAAACTCCAAAGCTAAATACATCAGATTTTATTGAGAAAAGACCATTCAGTGCATACTCTGGGGACATGTAACCACTGCATCAATGACCATAATGCTTATGAGAGGCTAAGTAACGAATTCAATACAAATTGAATGAATACAAAGTTCCATTACTTACTATGTGCCAACAACTCTCTTTGTTTTTACTTGGGTCTCATTTCCTCCAAAACTTCTAGCCATGCCAAAGTCTGCTATCTTGGGGTTCATATCTAGATCTAGTAGAATGTTACTGGCTTTAAGATCTCTGTGGATGATTCTTAATCGTGAATCTTGATGCAGATAAAGAAGTCCTCGAGCAATTCCTTTGATAATGCTGAACCGTTTTGTCCAATCAAGGAGCAAGCTTTGTGTTCTATCTGTCCAACAATGTTGGTTAATTTAGTTCCTTAAATGAATCCAATGTGGGAAATGATGTAGTATATAATATGCATGTATTATTCTAACCAAAAAGAAATGAGTCTAAGCTTCCATTAGGCATGTATTCATAGATCAACAGCTTTTCATCTCCATGTATGCAACAACCAAGGAGTTTCACAAGATTTCGGTGCTGAAGTTTTGAAATGCAAATGACTTCATTTTTGAATTCATCAAGTCCTTGACTTGAAGTCTTGGAGAGACGCTTAACTGCAATCTCCACTCCATCTTCTAGCAGACCCTAAAGATTAGTTAAACTTTTTGTAATGTGAAAAAATTAAAAGTTGCAAAGGTGATTTACATTTGTATCTCTATGTATAAGTGACATGCTTACACTACGAAAATGCAAAACCCACATTATATGATTGAAATACAATATAATTGCAAAATATCGAGTACCATTATTACCTTATAAACTGATCCAAATCCACCCTCTCCAAGTTTGTTCTCAGGTGAAAATCTGGCAGTGGCATTTGCTATTGTAGAGAAGCTAAACAGTGGTAGCTCCATGGCTTCTTCTTGGAATTCAGAGACATTAATCAACAGTTTTCCTATGCAATAGATAGAAAAAAGACTTCAAACTTGGAGAATCTACTCAAAATTTGTATCTATTCAAGTTACATATTACTCTACTTCTGTTCTTTTTTATTAGATTGCCAGCTATTTAACGGTTATATTGCGTAATTTTCTTACCTTCTTCCATTTGTTCACTACCATTCCTTTTTGTCCTTGCAAACCAGAACCATGTAGCGCTGAAGCCTAGGAGAAGACACCCCAAAAAGAGTACAATTAAGATGATTTTAATGTTTGCTCCACCCTTCTTGTCGACAACTGTATGATATAGCATAGAAAAGATGTTAATTTAAATCATCAATTGGACTTTAAATCATCTACAATGCATTTGAACTCTATAAAATTTAATTGGTTAACACATCTTCATTTCACTTTTTCATACAACTTTGCCATTTTTTCCTAAAAGAATATACAAAAGTTTATTGGAACGGATTTAAAAAAAATCTTTTATTGGTTAATCATTTTTATATTAAAAATTAAAGTTTCGTATTTTCCTATTGAACTCCATATCTATTTACCATCTTATAATGGTTGAGTTTAATCCATTAAATGTTAACATCTAATTCAAGATTCAATTCAATCATTTCATTTAACTATTCATTATGCATTCTCTTATATGTCAAACTTTTTACCTGTTTCATACAGGATATAAGGTTTGATGATGATGATGATGATGATGATGATGATGCAATAGTTAGTTACCTAAATCAGAGGAAGCAATTCTTACAAAGATATCCTGGCCACCATTGCTTTCAGGTATCTCTCTGATGTCCAAAAGTTCATTAAACCAAAGCAAACAGCCACTTCCTTCAAATCTTATATCCGTATTTGCATAAGCCATACAAGTACAATTCTTTAAGCATTCTGCTTCACATTCCTTTCTGCTCATGCTCCTGTTAAACCACGAAACTTGTGCATCTGGCAATTTCAGATTAGAATACTTGATAAACCCATCTGTTCCATTTTTGCAATCCAATGGCGTTCTCCTCACACAACCACCCGACCAAATCGCTATCTCCCAGCTCTTTTGGTTTCTCGGCATAAATCTTGTCTCATCCAAACAAGCACATGTCTGAAAGGTCGCAACACTGCAGCTTCCATAACCATTACACATGTTGTATGTATCACATATATCTTTTGGTAATACCATGAGTAGCTGCCATTTTTTATCATCTTCTACCCACACCCAACGTTCTACCTCCCCCAATGGATTCAAGATAAACCTCCGTACTGCAGAACTATTATCAAGATTATAACTAAAAGCCATGATTGTTTCATTATTCTGTGTAAAACTTATATTCCGGTTTAATAAAGAATCCCTATCAAACCGTATACTTGACAGTGGCCAACGGAACTTGACCACGTCACCTTGTTTTAGTAGGTTCTGAGGATAGATGCTTGTGTCAAGGCTCCATGAAAATTCACCTCGAGATGGATCTTGGGTACTCTTCCATGACGATAGAGACCATTCCTTACCAGTCAATAAATCTCTCCCATACTTCATGCCGGGTATATAAGTATCAGTTGGATGATCAAAACTCTGCCAAATAACGTTTTCACTGTTTTTTTCATTGACAACAAGATTACCATTGTCGAGAAGCTTCGCAGTTGGGTTTTGTGATGAAGTTGTGTTGGATGACCAAACTATACCGTTGATATTGTTGAAGAGGACGAGAGTTCCTGTTTCAGAGATCTTTAACATATTTGATGATGCAGAGGCGAGAGGGTGGTTTCTATTTGCGACCCAAACCACCGTTTTGAGAGAGATTTTCTTGTACCAAATACCAAGGTATCTGTTGTCAGAGCTACCTGGGCTAAAAAATCCCAGTTCGAAAACTCCGGTGGCGGAGACCAACGTGTCGCCATCTGTCAAGAATCGTGAATCTGAAATGATATCGAGTTCAGCAGCGTAGATTTTATGAAAGAAAAGTAAATAAAGAGGAAGAAATAATAGTGCTCCTTCCATTTGATCTTGTTTTATTCGCGATAATGATTCGTATTTACATCATATCAGAAACTAAAATAATACGATTATGCTTTGAGGTCCATTCAATATCTTTTTTTTCATTTCATAAATCTTATCTCGTACGTTTATGCTTATGGCTTCGTAGCTGTTTGTTGACCGTTGACGTCGACCATAAAAACATTAATCATGATAGACTTATCAAACATTAATCATATAGGCTTTATTCTAAATAGTAAATACTAACCATAGAGTAAAAAAATTTAAACGGCAAAATATATTAAAAAGCACCACGAATTAGCAAGTAACTAAAAGGAGGGCGGAGCAAGGAATAACTACATAGAAAGGGAAGATATACTCCAATCACACAATTTAAAATCTCTTAAGTTACGTACCCCAATGTTTACACAAAGAAAAAGACAATGAAATGATA